CCATGGTTAAGACGGCACACAGAGGCAGACCTCAGGGTGGAGTCCTGCCGCCACTACTGTGGAATATGGTGGTCGACGACCTCATCAAGACATTTGAAAGTAAGGCCCCAAAGATAACAGCCTATGCAGATGATATAAGCATTCTTATCACGGGTGTATGTCCATCGACCCTCAGATCCTTAAGGAACGTACACTCAGGGAGATACGTGAGTGGGCGGAAGAGGTAGGACTCAGTATCAACGCGGACAAGACGGACCTCATCCTCTTTACCAAGAGGTACAAGGTACCGATATGGAACCCCAAAAAATTGACCAAACTAGGCTGACTCAAAAAACACATGTGAAATACCTAAGCACAGTACTGGACAGAAAGCTAGCATGGAGACCCAATGTAGTGAAAAGGGTGAAGATGGCCACCATTGCGCTTTATGCATCCAAGAAGGTGCTCAGCAGCACATGGCGCCTGTCACCTGCTCTAATGCACTGGATCTACATCTCGGTGGTGCGACCAACTCTGCTGTATGTAGCCTTAGTGTGGTGGCAAGCTACTGAAAAGAAGACATACCATAAGCTTATGGAAAAGACTCAGCGACAGGCTCTGCTCTGTATTACAGGGGCGCTGAGGTCAACCCCAACAACGAAACTGTACTCGGAATCGACCCCCTGGACATTCACGCTCGCCTGATTGCGGGAAAGGCAGCACAGCGCCTTATCACAATGATACGGGCACAGTTTAATTGGCAGGGACATGACCAGATGATCCCCCAAACTTTCCCCGACATCAAAACTATCTTATCTCTGAGACCCGAAGACTGGAAAAAGGGAAGGGACCATTGTTAAGCACCTCAACATACACTACTGGCCAAAATAATAAGTACACGCTTATGAGCTTTCTTTCGTGTCCTATAAAACTTTTCTAAAAAATCAAATTTACTTTTAGTTTGCTAACCTACAATAGACTATAAAAATGTTTATCATAAGCATTTTTCATTTCAAATATATATTTTATGACCGATTAAACCTTAAAAACATAATCAAGGGCTGTCCAAAATAATAAGTACAGCAATTCTCTACAGCGAAAAACTAAAAGCGTATCAAAATTTGTCCACTTTTTTCTTATAATTTATTATCCTTTACTAGTATCCTATATAGCCACACTTATTTTTGATGACTTCGGCCATTCTTCTTGGCATACTAGCAAAAAGTTTGCGGCAAGTCTCCACTGGAATCTCATACCACGGTTTTTGCACAAATTCTCCAAAATTATTTTTCTTTTCGAAAACGATTTTTACCAATTCGACGTTTCAAGTTACGCCAAAGGTTTTCAAATCAGTTTAAGTCAGGAGACTGACTTAGCCAAGCCATAACGCTTACATTTTTTCCCGTAAACCAAGCCTTGACCACCTTTGAGGTGTGCTTTGGGTCATTTTCCGGTAGAAAAACCCATCTCAAGCGCATGTTTTCCTCAGCATAAGGTTGTATAATGTCAATAGGTTTTTATACCCGAATCGGATCATATGATCAGTTATGCGATGTATCGGGTCAACGCCATGCCAAGAAAAATAGCCTTAGATACCTATACATCGGCCTCCGTTCTTTGTGTACCGGAAGTCGAATTCTTTGCCTTTGGGTCGTTGTATACATCTTCTGGAGTCATTATCAAAAATATTTAACTTTTAAGACTCATCTGAACCAGACCATGCCAAATGATTATCAACGACTTTTTGCCTCATCTTCACATTTTTTACTCGGAGTAAGTCGAAGTCTTCGACGAACCATCAGACCTGATTTTTCTTTCCCACTTTGAGCATATTTAGCCTTGGAAGACATGAACTGATCCTTTTTTGCAAGACTAATGATGCGGGTGTCCGTTGTTTGTAAAGATTTCTTCTTCCATCCTCGATTTTCAATAAGCACTTTAGATTTTAAAGTATTCTGAAGCAAAAATATCGATCGTCCAAGACTTATAGAAAACTTCTTTTCTTCAGCAGTACGGCCTAACTAAAGAATTTTTTTTAACTCTCATGTAAATAATAAATATGAAAGAACTCAATAAAAACCAACAATCCTGTGACCAAATCCTTATCAAATCCTTTAAAATTTATAAATAACACCAGTGTACTTATTATTTTGGCCAGACCAAAAATGCCCATTCAGCATAAATTTAAGCATAGAATTTTATAAAGATGGTTCCCCACTTTATTTTTTGATTTAAATATTTGGCAAGACTGTAACCTTTCCAAATATAAACAATTGGCATCCATACATTTACGAAAAAATCCGAGCTATTCCATAACAAACTAGCTCGACACCGATATACTCATTTTTTTGGCCATTAGTGTATATACAGACGGCTCCAAGATGGACGGAGGAGTAGGAGCGGGCTTATTCTGCACAGACCCTGAGATAAGGCTGTCGTATAAGCTACCGGACCGATGCAGCATATTTCAGGCGAAAGTTTTCGCCATGCGGAAAGCAGCAGAGGTCGCTCAGCTTATAGAGCGAGCACACGACGGGGTCAATCTATTCGTCGACAGTCAAGCGGCAATCAGATCCATGCAGGCGTCCGTGGTCAGTTCCAGAAGTGTCTTGGCGAGCAAAGAGGCACTAGATACCCTAAGCACGACAAAGTCAGTGCGGATCTATTGGGTTCCCAGCCACCAGGGCATCGAAAGAAACGAGGCGGCGGACGTACTAGCTAAGGAAGGCGTCGGGCTGCAGAATAGGAGAACCGAGAACGTGCCTGTCTCCCTTAGAACGCTGCAAAGCGATCTAGAGAAGCAGGCTAGATCACAAACCGAAAGCAGGTGGAGGAGTACCACCACCTGCAGAACCTCGAAACTTATGTGCAAGGAACGCAATGAAAAACTTAGCCACTACCTACTGCACCTACCACGAAAGGACTGCAGATTGTTAGTGGGAATACTAACAGGTCATTGCCTGGCAGCTGCACATGCAGCAAAGCTTGGCATCACCAACAGAGACAGTTGTAGGAGATGCGATGACCCTGGGGCTATCGAAACCCTGGAACATCTCATCTGCAACTGTCCGGCTCTCTCAAGGGCTAGGAGGAGATACCTGGGCGCGCCAGTGCTGGCATTACTGGTCGATGCCTCCAAAAGGACGCCACAGGAACTGCTCGCCTATGCTAAAAACACCTCGATTCTCGGGGACTTTTACAACCACCTCAACACTCCCGCGATGGTTCATACCACATCTGGGTGTTACTCCAGATAAAGTTTTGGCAAATAGCAACATAATTGCATATTCAGTATAGACAGTATCCAGTCTAATATTTAAATACCAATTTTGGTTAGACTGAATTTACTGCCAGGTGCGTTAAAATTTAGCTGTTAATTTGTTTTTATTGCGTAAAGGACACACAAAAAAAAATATGTGAGTATACTGTGTAAAATGGCTATGAATTATTTTAAATTTTTCTTAAACAGTAATAGATGCTTGTTTGGTTTGACTATGCAGTTCTTATCTCTTATTGTTGTGCTCAGTTATTACAAATTTTCGTGTTCTTTAAACCACATTTGTGGTACCATCAGAGATCAAAGTCGCGCTCTACGTTGAAAACATATATGTGCAAAATCAAGGCAGAACTCGGGTTGACAATCCCCAGGCAACGTGTGAGCCCATTTTTGAACGAAAATTGTAACCTCACATATCAAAAGAAAGTGGGCAAACACCGCTTAACTAAACGTCATAATGATGTCCTTTTGAAAAACACAAGTTCTGGCACCACGAATTATAAAATTGAATTTTTAGTGATGAAAAAAATTGATTTTAGACAATTCAGATGTCTATCATATATATATTGGAGAGACCCGCGTCATCCACGGGCAACTTGCTACAAGCCAAACCATGGTGATGGATCGCTTATGATATGGGCTGCCTTTAGTGCTAAAGTCTCCAATATGTTCAATATCCAGTACAAAACCTTAAAAGAATTAAAAAGCGATCGTTGCAGAATGGAATAGGATAGAGTTATTAACTCTACAAAACTTGGCAGGCTCAATGCACAGTAGGCTAAATAAACTTCAGGACCATAAGTTCAACTGCATTAATTATTAAGAGAGTTCATTTCCCAAAAACTTGCTCTTAGGAAATTTTTTTCCATACAAAATATATTTTGCTGTTATAGCCATTTTCTATGTCAAACATATAAAACTATTTTTATACCCGATACTCAAAATGAGTATTGGGGTATATTAGATTTGTGGTGAAAGTGGATGTGTGTAACGTCCAGAAGGAATCGTTTCCGACCCCATAAAGTATATATATTCTTGATCAGCATCAATAGCCGAGTCGATTGAGCCATGTCTGTCTGTCTGTCTGTCCGTCTGTCCGTCCCCTTCAGCGCCTAGTGCTCAAAGACTATAAGAGCTAGAGCAACGATGTTTTGGATCCAGACTTCTGTGATATGTCACTGCTACAAAAATATTTCAAAACTTCGCCCCGCCCACTTCCGCCCCCACAAAGGACGAAAATCTGTGGCATCCACAATTTTGAAGATACGAGAAAACTAAAAACGCAGAATCATAGATAATGATCATATCTATCAGGTTGCTGAATCTGGATCAGATCAGATCATTTTTATAGCCAAAGGGAACAAATCAATTTGCACTGGCTACGCAGCGCCCGACGTCACGCTCAGACTGATTTTCTGTCTCTCTCACACGCACTCTTTGTCGTGTCGTTTAATATTAGCGGCGTCTGCCGGAGGAGAGCCATACTGACTTAGTATCGGGTATAACTGTAGAGTTGCGGTGTCCGTAACAACTCACAACGTTCCCCCTCGTTTTTTTTGTTATTAAAACAATTGATATTGAATTTGTTTATGCCTTTTTGTTTTGTACTTATTAACAGATAACAAAATAAAAATACAAAATAAATCAAGAAAATACGCGTTGAAAAAAGACGTCATTCAAAGCAGTGCACATATAGCCATTTTACTAAAGTATATCCTAACATCATAGCAGTGAATATACATACCTTTGTAACAGGTTGAATTGCAGCTTTAACACTTTCCAAGTTTGTTGGATCCACAAAAGTAGCAGATATTCCCAAGCGTGAGGCTACGTGTCTGAAACATATTGCCTATTTAATGACTTCAGTTATTTATTCTGATTATAAGATGTTCATTGCTGCTCATTTATGGTGTAATAATTGGAAGGGTTTTTTTTACGCGCGTCAAATGGGTTGCGCAGCCGCTGCAATTTTATTTATTTTATCTGGCTATAATAATGGTCAGTTTCCGTAGATATATTCTTGATCATTAATAGCCGAGTCGTTATAGCTTGTGGTTTGACGACTAGTTCTCAGGGACTATACGAGCTAGAGCAACCAAATTTGGTATCCACAGTCCTGTGATATTGCACTGTTACAAGTGTATTTCAAAATTTCGCCCCGTCCCATCCTGCACCCACAAAGGAAAAAAATGTGTGCCATCCACGGTTTTGAAGATACGAAAAAACTAAACAGTACTATAGAGAATCTTTCAGACTTCCGAACCTGGATCAAATCGGATTATTGTTATAGCCAAAAGCAACAAATCAATTTGCAGTGGCTACGCAACGCCGTCTACGTGCTTACTTATTTTCTGTCCCTCTCTCAGAGACTTTTCGTCGTGCGCCCTCTGGCGGAGAGGAGCCTGATTGAGTATTGGGTATGAATGTAGAGTCGCGGCCGTAGCAGCGACTCACAACGCTCCCCTTCGTTTTTAATTCCTGTTTTGAAAGACATCAACATTTTGATGTGGTCAAAATAATAGTAGGAATACAAAAAGTTTTTTAAATTATGAAATCAACTACATTTTTTGCATGGTTTTTAGTGTTAAATAATACTTGAATGGTTTATTTAACAGTCTTAAGCTTTTATAGTTTTTGTTTTTTTTGTTATTTGGTGTAGCTTTCATGGAGCATGGCGCGAAAAGCGCGAAATAATTAAAATGTTCACTTCAGAAGGAAAGTAATAAGTCGAGGTGGTTGTTTAGTAAAACCTGCAATCGGCGAAGTTAGAGTTAATTTTTTTTTTTTTTTTGTAGATCTTGAATTTTCCCCAAAATAGAATTGCAAAACTGTAAAATACGGTGGATACTCAATAATGGGTTGAGCGAGATATTTTTACTACGCAATTTGTCCAGTATATTGACCGAAATGAGCTACCTTATGCCTCAAAGAACATGCATTTGTTTTGAGGGGTCCCCTGGGTCTAAAAATTTGGAGGAATTACCTTAGTTGTTTTCTGTTATTATAATCTGTAATTAGCTAAACTACTATAAAAATTAAAAATTTTTGTGAATGTGCCTTCAAGTCTTGTTATAAAGGGAAAACTGAAAAACTTGTCTGGGCACTACTATTATTTTGACCGCAGCTATATGTAAATGTAATGTTACCTCACAAGTCGATTTGTTCCACCATACACATCATCGCCCACAATTATGTGATCTCCACTCTTCAGCATTGTTAGCACTGCAGTTGTCGCTCCAAGTCCAGAAGAAAATGTTAGACCATACTTTGCATTGTCAAGCGCAGCCAAACAGGTTTCCAAAACGTTCCTTGTGGGATTACCACTCCTCGAATACTCATATCCCTAAAAATGGATTTAATATATACATTTTTAGATATCGTAAAAGACTTAAGGTGTTTCTTAAAGTTAGGTTGTATTTCGGTATGTAGGCCAAGGGCTTGGTGGCGGTTTCTTAGAAGTCCAAGATGTCTTAAACCGTTTCTACTCTTTCTTGCATCTACGACAGTACGTTTTCCTGTGCCCATTATCGTGTCCATTCGGTCGATAAAACAGTTCCCTCTTTAGTTTGCTGCTTCTCACCTGATTTTTCTAAAGCGTTGAAAGTAATATTTTTGGAGGATCGGTGTTTAAAGGTCATGATATAAATCTACATAGTTATGTATGCCTATCTTTGTTATATGCAAAAGAATGGCTAAATTAATAGACGGACAAACAGAAATGGCAATATACGAATATACTTTATTGGGTCGGACATCTGCAAGAATCTAATAATTCCTTTAATCTTTAAGTACCGGGAATAAAAATGAGTATCAAAATTATTGTTTATCAACTAATATTTCGTTTTTAACCTGTGGGTTAAATGAACAACAAAATTTACAGGTTATCTTGCGGTCAATATTAACACAATAACAAGGCTAGACGAAGCGTTCGAAAATATTCTAATTACACTAGTCAGCAGCCGAAAAAATGTACAAACTTTTTCTAACAAATTCTAAAAAAAATTGTATTTGATTTTTTTAACGTTTTTACAGAGATAACCTTGCATTTTTGTATATGTTACCCAAGCTTAAATAAAATTCCAATACTGAAAAGCTGATGAATACAGCTATCAATTGACCCCTTGCAGCGTAAGCTTTCCGTATTATACAATGAAATTATATTTATACCCGATACTCAAAATGAGTATAGGGGTATATTCGATTTGTGGTAAAGACAAGTTTGTTTCAAAATTTTTGCACGCCTCTTTTGCCCCCGTAAAGGACGAAAATGTGTGGTATCCACAATTTTGAAGATACGAAAACACAAGAGAGAATGTCCATTTCTACCTGTCTGCTGATTCTGAATCAGATCAGATTATTATTATAGTCAGAAGATACAAATTAAATTTCAGTGGCTACCACAGCGTAGAAACGCGCTTACTCATTCTCTTTCTTTTCTCTCTCTCTCTCTGTCTGTCTCTCGAGCTCCCCCAGCGGAGGGAAGCGCAGACTGCCGTAAATCTCTTCACGTCATAGTTCATCAATTTGCTACATGTATCTGTATCTGGCTTTTATGGGTCCCGGGGCATCAGGACATTGAGGACAACTGTACAGCAGACGAGATGGCCCGATTTGGCACTATAATCCCCCTTCTCCAATGCAAGGATAATATTGGCCAATGACCAATGGCCACCTGTAGGCTTATCATAAAAAAGCAATTAAAGCGGCTAATAGACAATATGTGGATATTAGTGCTACGATGTCAAATAACTCGAAAAATGCGCAGCGATTTTTGCACTCCCTCACAGGACATTGGCTATCAGGCACCAACGCAAAAATGCTGGGGTGGAATAAAATGAAAAAAAAATTTATTTTTATGAACATTTTGTTCAATATCCTATGTTTGCCAAAAACACCCAATTAGTGACGATGTACAGTGGCGAGCACGTGTGGATACATGTTTATCACTTTGCACTTTAAGCGCCTGTAAAATCTTTAAAAATCAATCAATCCTTGTGATTTTTTTTTTAAAGATTCATTAATTTATTGAGAATAAAAAAAGACAACAATTTCAATTCAAAGAGATCCTTTTCCTTAAGAGATTTTAATTTGTTCAAAAAATGAGCATGTATCCACTTTTGCACGTTTCAAATTTTTTTACTTTAATAATTTTTTAAAAATATTTGTTCCAAAGGGCCTTAGTTTTTATCATATTCCGAATAAGTATTGGCATACTCTCGACTAAATTTAGTAGGTGCTGGAAAGGTATCATGCCCCACTCCGACCTCACGCGCTCTCAAAGACTCACCCAATCCCTTTGGTGCAGACTCGTACTTTTCCAATGTTTTTTAAACAGAGCCCATCGATTTTCAATGGGATTTAGATCTGGACTATTCAGCAGGCCACTGGATTAAGTGAAAACTCGAATTATTGGGACGATTTTTCACGAATTTAGCCGTGTGCGTCGGGCTACCGTCTGGCTGGAAAGTGATCTCGGATATGGGGAAGTCACATTTCTCTATAAAATTTGACAAAATGAGTTCCTAAATACTAAGATAATATTCTTTCTTCATTACTCCATCGATTTTAACCAATTAATTAACGCTCCACCAAGTGTAGCAGCCCTACACCGTCAGGCTTCCTCGTCCATGCTTTATTGTTTGTTTGTGATTTTTTAGCTTTCCACATGAGCGGTATCAGTAGTTTTCATTTCGATCAGATTAAAAACGGTTTATTTTGGTATATCTGACCCAATTACCTTCTTAAAATTATCCCTGGTCCAGTTCCTATGCTCCTCGGTAAATATAAGATGCGCAGCCCCTTTTTGTGAGAGAGGGCAGGTTTTTTCTGGCTATCTGCCGGTGTCATGCCGATCGTACGCAGAGCGTCCACTCATGGGACGTTCTCCAATTGGTTAAAATCGATGGAGTAATGAAGAAAGAATATTATCTTAGTATTTAGGAACTCATTTTGTCAAATTTTATAGAGAAATGTGACTTCCCCATATCCGAGATCACTTTCCAGCCAGACGGTAGCCCGACGCACACGGCTAAATTCGTGAAAAATCATCCCAATAATTCGAGTTTTCACTTAATCCAGTGGCCTGCTGAATAGTCCAGATCTAAATCCCATTGAAAATCGATGGGCTCTGTTTAAAAAACATTGGAAAAGTACGAGTCTGCACCAAAGGGATTGGGCGAATCTTTGAGAGCGCGTGAGGTCGGAGTGGCGCATGATACCTTTCCAGCACCTACTAAATTTAGTCGAGAGTATGCCAATACTTATTCGGAATATGATAAAAACTAAGGCCCTTTGGAACAAATACTTTTAAAAAATTATTAAAGTAAAAAAATTTGAAACGTGCAAAAGTGGATACATGCTCATTTTTCGAACAAATTAAAATCTCTTAAGGAAAAGGATCTCTTTGAATTAAAATTGTTGTCTTTTTTCATTCTCAATAACTTAATAAATTAAAAAAAAAAAAAATCACAAGTATTGATTGATTTTTAAAGATTTTACAGGCGCTTAAAGTGAAAAGTGATAAACATGTATCCACACGTGCTCGCCACTGTATGTATACAATGGGGCGAAACCTGCCCAAGTGTTTCAAAAAATTAAAAATAAAAACCAAAAAACTCCCATATACTCACTTCTTATTAAAATTAATGTAAATAATAATATTAACATTTTGTGCATAGACCCATATTAGATATTACTTTTTTAATACGGTTTGGAATGCTTTTTATCAAATTCCTAAAAATATGATTGCATTCCGCATCTACACGTCCTCAGAGATCGCCTCGGGTAAAAATTCGCTGATGTAGGTTTTCAATCGTATTAAGTTCGGTTTGAGTTCTTTGAGATGGGATGCGATTTTTAATTAACCAGCCATTCTCGAAAAATTGTCGCAATTTGCTTCGGATTCCTGTCTTTTTAAAAAGTTATTTAAATTCGGGATAGATACATTTCTCCGGAAAATTAAGAAGTTAGGCTTGCAGAAGTTTTAAATAGTCCTCTGTGAACAGAATACCCTCAATTTTTTGTAGAGGACTAACGTGCTACCATGTAAAGCAACTTCAATCATAGTAATATGAAATATTGAAATAATTTGGCTGCTCCCTACTGTATGTATACATTTTCTCAGGTCCCCGCCAGCGGGCGCACACTGTACCACCAGCGCACCAGTAAGAGTTTGTGAAAGAGAGGGAATGAGTAAGCTCGTGGGGGCAGAAGGGGTTTTGGAAACGGTTGAAACGAACTGGATTCAGTGTGACTAGGCGTCAAACAAGACGGACCGACGGCCATACGGATAGACAGAATCGGTTATTGATGCTAATCAGGAATACATATACAATGTACATATGTACTTTATAGGGTCGGAAACGCATCCTTCTGGACGTTACACACATCCTTTTTCCGCACAAATCGAATATACCTACATGCATATACATATCATTTTTTTAGAGTGCTAAACGCAGCGGCCAATGATGTAAATATCAGTAAACACTTAATTATACCTATGGATATGCATGTAGCCTGTCGAGTTCGAATACATATGTACTTATGTACAAACATATGTGTCTACAGAAACAACATAAATATGTATATGTACATATGTACCTACACAATTTACACATTTAATACGTCGATTCTTATACAAACTTCGACTTTTATTTCGACCGATCGGGATCGTAACAATTTACATATGTACATACATACATATGTAGGTATTTATGTACATACATATGTATGTACGGCAATATCTATTCCAACGCATTGGAACACTTTTATTGAAATGTAATATGTATACATATGTATGTAAATAATTGCAATTCATAGGGATATTTAACTTTTTCTGTTTACCAATAAAACATTTCACATATTCGTGTGCCATTTGGACATACATACATATGTACATAAATATATATGTACATACATATGTATATATGTAAGTATAAAGATACAGAATACCAGTTCATATTAATGTGCATTCATGCTTATTTATTGGAAAATTAACATGGTAATAAAAGTAATCACATTTCCTTACCCTGTGTTCCCCCGGCGCATCTTGTTTAAAAGTAGTACTTAATGATATTGGGGGTATTACGCAAGCGCTTTTCCATTGTTCAGGACTCTGTCCTGCGTGAATGGCTTTTGTATCAAAACCATTTGGCTGAATTTTGAAACTCATAATAGCTGACTGAGAGGCAAGAGACACGTTAGTTGATGCTTATAGAAGTGATTTTACTTAAATGAACAAGATCATCAAAAAAAGTCACGTGGCGTTTTGAATTCTATATTGAATTGTTCCCAATTTCAATTACTTTAGAAATTGTATTTCGTTAAAATTATAAAAAACTATCGATTTGTGTTCTTAATTCCGAGCGAAATTCAATCCAAATTACTGTTGAAAACCACTGACTCTATTAGGATTAGTTACGCGTTGTTATAAATGTATGGCACACGCTTCTCACCAGTGTAATGTCGGCATAAGTGTATTTTTTAAATTTTAGATTTGATTCCTGAATTACAATAAAGAAAAAAAAAATCATTTTAGAACATTTTTGCGGAATACCCCTTTTATTTTTTGCGCGCTTTCAAAGTCAGCTGATGCAATTCAAATTGTCCATATTTTGTAACATTTTTCTTAGTTTATTTAAACTTTCTAAACTTTTGTTCTCTGGTTGCATTTTTGTAAATACATTTTTTTAGTTTCATTTTTTGCCTAAAAAGTTTTGAGTCAACACATTCACTTTTTCCTAAAATTTAGAAATTTTAATTCTGGTTCTGTATCCGGCCAAAATATGTTTCTGAATATTATTTTTAGCCAGGCCGCGTTTTTCACTTACTTTACGTTTACTTTTCAATTTAAGGGGCTTCCGGTTTCACAAATCGATATATTTCATTTTCTCTTTTAGTAAACAAAAACAGTTGCTTTGAAAATGTACAGCGTGATAAAAATGCCTTTATTTTTTCAATTGCTTGCTTTGAATTAAAAAGTTGCAGAAAGTGCGCAAGTTAGGAACCCCTTTGTATTTAACATGTCTGATAGTAACAGCATGCATATTGAAAATTAAATCATAAAAGGAATTTGTTTCACTTACATTTGGATTTAAACGTGGCCGGAAACAGCTCTCTTTACCCAGATATCCTGTTACGTGCGTGTTACAAGCATTGTCGGTGCTGTTACAAGCACAGGCTGTGATGTTACTTGCACATTTCTTTATGCGCAAACATAAATTTCTTACCAAAATCGGACTGCGTCAGCTGTTTGCACCAAAACGAAAATAGTGGTTGCCCTGACCATTTATTTCCGAGTCTAATTTGAGGTTGGGTTAAGAAAAATTTTTTTATAAAAATTTATAAATTTATTCGTTGTTCTCTTTCGTAGTGACCAGAAGTGTTTTTTTTTGCGTTCTGGTTCTTTTCCATTTATTTTGCAAATACAGTCGGTGTTTTTCAAAATAAACCTTGATAAAATCCCCTTGATAAAATCCCGTAGCCTTTGCTGTAGCTATCGCTATCCCCCTATTATCACTAACCATACAGTATACTGTATGGTTAGTGTCCAAACTCAATCAACTGTTCTTTCCCTCTCGCTCTTTAAACTTTCTGAGCAATAGCGCTCTCTGTTTAATAGCTCTCGCTATAGCCGCTCTCCAACCTCTCCAAATTTTTTGTTGCAAATTTTAAAATAAATAAATAATAAAAATGGAAGAAGCAGATCACCCACGGTCAGGCGAATGTCCCCTTTCTGGCCTCGTGAGTGATGCTATAGCCAAACGTAATGGGTTGCATTACAGTTGCGAGGCATGCCGTGCGGTGGAAAATGGTATGGTGGCTTTTATGAGACAGACGCGGAAGGGCTTTAAGGAGCTAACCGTATGCCTTAAAGCAGTACGATCGGCTCCTAGCCATGGAGCCATTTGCCAGTCTGCAACTGCTGAATGAGTCTCCGAGGCGTAAAAGGGTCACTTCGCGGGATCTGCAAGTGCCAACCGTTACTCCGCCGAAAAACTGACTTCGACCACTCCCGGTGTGCAGCAGTTGCTCTCGTTTGCCACTCCAAGGGCAACGACAGCTGCTGGCGATGCAGGTTCGGTAGCCGAATTCATCGCTTCGGAGAACGTGCAGCCCAGTACGTCTGCAGCGTCCGTTCCCTGATATTCGTGACAAGTTAATGTCAATTTATCAATAAGTTATATATGTAAGAAGGAGTGGGCCAGCTGGCCAATTGAGGGGGCAGCGGTGATAAGGAACAGCAGTAATAACAACAGCAGAGGAACAGCTGATGAGCAGCAACAGCAGCAGATCAACAGCGGACAGAGAAGAAGAGGAACCGAGCGAAGCAGTGAAAAGGAGAGAACAGCAGCATACGGACGCGACTCAAGCAGCAGAAGAAAATCAGCAGAACATTTAGAACTTTTGTAAGCACACATACCAGGCCACCGCGATAATAATACGAATAAACAATACTCTAAATAATATCTTACATTTGGGGGCTCAACCAGTCGCGTACTGCCTGTGTAAAGTGGAAAAAATCAGAAATTGTGTGTCTCATGTCTCAGAAGCCGGCAGCAGACGAAGCAAGACGGAAAAGCAAAAATTCGGTGCAAAAAAACTGCGCATTAGACTCTCAGAAGCCGCAAGCAGAGGAAGCGAGACAGCGAGTGGGTGAAAAGAAGAACCGAGAAAAAAGGGTTGTTTCAAGCCGGCTGACCACAGGAGTATTGCGCAGTAGAATTATAATGGAAAATACAAGTGGACCACCAGCCGGGAATATGCAGCAAAACGAAGGCCCAAGTGGATCAGAAGCGAACAGGATCAATCGCCAGCAAAACGCGAACGAGGAAGCGATGAGGTCAACACTCCTAGAAGAAAACACACAGACGCTCCAACAGCGGGTTCAACTGCTCTCGATGAAAATAAATGCTGATGAAATAGACAAGAAAAATTATAAAAATTATAAAATTATACAAAATTATTCCAGAATTCAACGGAGAAAATATGTCGGTACAGCAGTGGTTTATTAACTTCGAGCTAAACGCTGAAGCATACGGACTAAATGACAAACAAAAATACGTGCAAGCCCGAGCAAAAATTACAGGTACAGCCGCTCTTTTTCTCGAGTCCACAGCAGTGTATGAGTACGGCCAATTACGTCACCAACTTTTACAGGAGTTCGAGTGTGAGCGTTTATGCAGTGCGCAAATTCACAATAAATTGTCTATGCGAGTGAAGATTGCCGGCGAAAGTTTTCACGAATATATACTACAGATGAAACGCATTGCTGCACGTGGGACAACAGACACGGAGTCGGTGATTCGATACATTGTCAACGGACTGAATTTAAAAACGGATTATAAGTACACCTTGTATGGATGCAGCTCATACAAGCAGCTGCGAGATAAGTACGAAATCTACGAAAGAACGCTCGCGGTTGATGGGGGTTTCGCCCCGAAACAAAAAGACTCACAGCCGTTCGGAAAGAAGTCCAATTTCACCAAATATGAAAGGAAGCAGCACTGCTACAATTGTGGATCCCAGGAGCATCTACGCAAGGATTCCCGAGCTGCATTAAAGTGTTTCCGCTGCAATCAAACTGGATACATGTCTAAGGATTGCCCGAGTGCCGCTGCCGTAAACGTTGCATACGTTGCAATTAACGACGTGCAAGTCAAGCGGCTCATAGACACCGGTGCAGATGTTTCCCTATTAAAGATGTCAGTGTTCGGCAAAATGAGTGGTGTCCATCTGCAAGCCAGTTCGTCAACTCTGAGGGGACTTGGAAACAACATCACACGCTCCGCTGGGCAGTTTACGGCAGAAGTGGAGATCGACGGAATGCGACTGGCACATAAATTCCTTGTGGTGGCCGATCATGCCGTCGGATGCGAATTGTTGCTTGGACACGTCTTTATATCCAAGTTCACAATGACAACAACGCCAGGAGGATATAAGTTTTCTCCCCTGCCGGGGCAGGAAACTGAGGACACCAAACAGATAAGTATTTACAACGTGGTGGAAGCAAATACTGACATAAACATTCCATCGCAGTTCAGAGATGCCGTCCAATCAATGATTCAGGACTGAAAAGAAGCAGACTGCAGTGTGCCCGATCATGCTGAAGATCGTACCGGACGAGAAAATAGCGCCGTTTTGACGTTCGCCAAGTCGAGTGGCCATCAGCGAAGCCGACGTTGTCAAGCAGCAGATCGATGAATGGGCCAACGCTGGGATAATACGACGCTCATCATCAAATTTCGCCAGTCGGACTGTAATTTTCAAGAAAAAGGATGGGAGCAGCCGGGTCTGCGCGGACTATCGTCAGTTGAACAAGATGGTCTTGAAAGATTGCTTTCCCATTCCAATCGTTGAAGAGGTGCTGGAAAAACTGGAAAATGCTAAGGTGTTCACCATCATGGACTTAGAAAATGGGTTTTTCCACGTTCCTGTGGAAAAAAGCAGCAAAAAATATACGGCGTTCATAACGAAGGAAGGCCTCTTTGAGTTCTACCGTGCGCCTTTCGGTTTACACGCTGAAACCGCCGACGAATGCCTGGGAAAGCTGAAGGTTTTTGATTCTGCAGCTGAATACGGGCTGAAGATGAAGTGGAAAAAGTGCCGATTTCTGAAGTCGACCATTACATTTTTGGGTCATCAAGTTGGAGGAGGTGAAATCAAGCCTGGATTGGAGAAAACCAAAGCCGTCAGCCAGTTCCCGATGCCGAAAAACAAAAAGGCTGTGCAGTCGTTTTTAGGATTAACTGGGTTTTTCCGTAAATTCATAAGAAACTATTCGCTAATCGCCAAACCACTGACCAATCTGCTGCAAAAAGATGTCCCATTTAAAATTAGTCTGGAGGAGCAGCAGGCGGTCGCTACATTAAAGGAAGCATTGGTGAAAGAGCCGGTCTTGAAACTTTATCGCAGGAATGCAAAAACCGAGGTACACACTGATGCGTCAAAGGACGGGTTTGCAGCGGCGTTGTTACAATGGCACGAAGGACAATTGCATCCGATCTTATTCTGGAGTAAGAAAACCTCGGTTCAGACTCCGAGGTCTAGGTCGAGGTCTAGGTCTCCGAACACGACAGCATAGCTATATACAGGAAGCCAAAGCAATTTTCCTAGCGTGCAAAAAATTTCGTCAGTACATACTCGTCAACCAACTTTAAGCTCGTAACGGATTGCGCTGCTTTCAAG